TTATGGAGTACATGAATAGGATTTTTGATCGCGACTTTCTATGTCTAACAAATCTAACTACAAGTGCACAGTCTATCGCGTAGTAATAATAGATATTGATCCCACAGGGACTCGTAATCAATCTAGTGTTATCGGGTGTTACGGTGTTTAGCTAGGTTGGTTTGGTTTCAAGTTGAATAATGGCAGAATAAATGCATAAACTAAAGGGAACTAAGGTTTTACTTAAGATATGAATTTATGAATCGATATGCAATAATTTTGTTCTTCGGGGATTTGACAACTTATTGGCGTATTAAATGTTTTCAAACTTAGTTTAAGAAGAAAATAGGGATTTAAAGACTTTTGTCTCACGATGGTTGTTGACGCTAGTCGCAACTCTAAGGCGGAACGTATGCTTTCGCTATCCCGTTCGGGGTTAAAGTTACCTTTTAAAAATCTCTAAGTTCTAATCCTTTTTAAAGCGCTTTCGCTGTTTTTAAATCGAATGCCTAGTTTTTACTATCTGGTCTTACCTCAGCTGTCGCTTGTTGGTTCGTACCTTAATATGGTTTCCCACTGTCGTGGCAAAACCACCGTAAATAGCTTCTCACTGTCGTGACAAAGATTTATTTAGAATTTTGATTAAAAACTAAAACCATAACTGAGTTTTTGAAAAGAGAAAAACTACGCCAATTATTATCAAATTCCGTCTGAATTATTATTACATATCGATTACAGTAGTTTAGCTAGACATGGAAATAGAAATGGCAATACATAAATAAAAACAGTAATTAATAACATGCATCATAATGAAAACTGAAATTACGATTAAAATTTAAAACCTGTAAAATATTCCAATTGGCCTTTGGGCAGATCCTCCACAAATGTTGGCAGGATTCTGGTCTTGGTGCCAATTGATCGTACAAGGGAAATAGAAATTACAAAATATCAAAGAATGCAGAGAAGGAAAAGAGAAACAAATAAGAATAGAATAATGGAAAGGTTGCTCTGAAGACGAATTGGCAGCACTTCGTTGTCTTGAATTCGGCTCCCTTTTTCAGGTCCCAACCTCTTCCTTTTATAAAGGGAGAGTATCTAACGGTTATTCCCTCAGGAAGTGGGTTTGAGGCAGAAAAATAGGAGTTAGTGGCCACACTTTTGGTCTTTGAGGGGAGAAATTGCACGTGACTTCATTCTGCCACGTTCTGGCTGCATGACGGTCGTCATGGCTGTGTGACGGTCGTCACACGCATGACGGTCGTAACAGCTGTGTGACGGTCGTCACATCAGTCAGGCTCGTTTCTGCTGGCTTTCACTTGGTTTTTCATCCATTTTCCACTTGTTTTTGCTCCTTTACTTCATATTGCTTTGTTTGGACATGTTCTTTGGATACATGCATAATACTTAGACAAATAGCATGGAATGCCCCGAATTCGGGGTGAAATCGGTCAAACATTGGTTAAAACATACGTCATTTTATAGATATATTTTCGCGTTATCAATTTTCCATCCTTATTTGGACAAGTTCGTTGTGGTGTTTATTGATGACATTTTGGTCTACTCGAAGAATGAAGAGGAGCATGCCGAACATTTGAAGATTGTGTTATCTGTGTTGAAAGAGAAGCAGTTGTATGCGAAACTTTCTAAGTGTGAATTTTGGTTGAAAGAAATGAGTTTCCTTGGTCATGTGATTTCAAGTGAAGGTATTGCAGTTGATCCATCGAAGGTTGAAGCGGTATCGCAATGGGAGACTCCGAAATCAGTTTTTGAGATTAGAAGTTTTCTTGGTTTAGCGGGTTATTATCATAAGTTTATTGAAGGATTTAATAAGTTATCGTTATCGTTGATGCAATTGACTAGGAAGGGTCAAACTTTTGTTTGGGATGCCAAGTGTGAAGAGAGTTTTCAGGAACTTAAGAGAAGATTGATGACAGCCCCTGTTCTGATTTTGCCAAATCTGGAAGAGCCGTTTGTTGTGTATTGTGATGCTTCTTTGATGGGCTTGGGAGGTGTGTTGATGCAGAATAATCAAGTTGTAGCCTATGCTTCGAGGCAACTCAAAGTGCATGAGAAGAATTATCCGACGCATGACTTAGAGTTGGCCGCCGTCGTGTTTGTGCTTAAACTTTGGAGGCATTATTTGTTTGGTGCGAGATTTGAAGTGTTTAGTGATCACAAGAGTTTGAAGTATCTCTTTGATCAAAAGGAATTGAATGCTAGGCAAAGAAGGCGGTTAGAGCTTTTGAAGGACTATGATTTTGGGTTGAATTACCATCCGGGTAAAGCGAATGTGGTAGCGGATGCGTTGAGTCGGAAATCGTTGCACATGTCGATGATGATGATGAAAGAGTTGGAATTGATTGAGCAATTTTGTGATTTGAGTTTAGTGTGTGAGGAGACTTCGTATGGGGTTAAGCTTGGAATGTTGAAGCTTACGAGTGGTATTCTGGACGAAATTCGAGAAGGACAGAAATCCGATTTGAGTCTAGTTGATCGGTTGACTTTGATAAACCAAGGCCAAGGTGGTAATTTTTGGATTGATGAGAATAGTATTATGAGGTGTCGGGATAGAGTTTGTGTCCCGGATCTTGATGGGCTAAAAAAGAGTATTCTTGAGGAAGGACATCGTAGCGGATTGAGTATTCATCCGGGTGCTACTAAGATGTATCAAGATTTGAGGAAAATATTTTGGTGGCCTCGTATTAAGAAGGATATTGCCGAATTTGTGTATTCTTGTTTGACTTGCCAGAAGTAGAAGGATATTACAGGACACGTTGAGAACGTGAGGGAGGTCAGAAGAGCTTCCCGAGCTGGATGGGTTATGCCCGACTGTGGGGCAGATGAGGGGCCAGTCAGACAGATATGAGGATCATGCTCAACTGCCATTGGGTCGTGCCCGACAGGAGAAGCGGTTCTGTCTGATAGTTCTTTGCCCGACGATGAGGTCTTGTTGGACCCTCCATCCTGGTGGGGTTTGCGCCTACTCAACTATGGGCCAAGCGTTGGCCCAATTCAGAACAGTAGCCCCCTAGGTCGTTGCTCGTGGTCAAACGAGCTATGACTTAAGGTGCAAAAGTGTCGAGCATGTCACTTTGTCAGGCAGGCCACAATTGTATTGGTTGGGCGAGCCTATGATGTAGGGGAAGCTCGCGGACGAGAAGGGGAATCTAAAGAGACGTAAGGAAGGCTGAGGGTCACTAAGTGTCACCCTAAGGAGGCTACGGGCTAGCGACGCTTCGTTTCTCGTGCTAGGGCGTATATATACGTGGGCCCAACCCATCTTTTCGCTCTCTCGTTCTTCTTGCTGCTATTCGACCTTCTAAATTCCCTGCTCGACGCCTACAACCTTTCTGCTTGACGCAACCGCCTTTCTCTGCCGCATTACATAAGTCTTTGCCTCTTTACTGGTATAATTTCCTTCTTTTAGTAAGCTTCTGGTGGTGCTCCCGGTGATTCCGATAGGGACGTCGGGGAGACCGTGGGCTTTTCCGTCGAATACGTCAGAATGTCCTTCAAAACTAGGGTTCTGATCGACGTCCCCGGCCCTTGCAATGAGTGGCCCGGGAAGAAACAATAATTGTTGAATGTCCCGAGGGTAGTTTGATGAATACCCCGAACACGATTGATGAGCGGGCCGAGGATAGAAGACTGCGTTCCCCAGGAACATCGAATGGTCGGGTTATCCTAGAGTGGTCTTCTGGGCGTCCATGCCCTTTCACTTGAACTGCAGCGAAAGGGTGGATTTGATTTGGCTGAATTCACCAAGTTCCTCTGATTTTTAGGTAAATGGCTGCCCATGAGGAAGAGGAAACAATGTGGTATCTGTCAGCCGACGAAGAGGGTCTCCAAGATGAGGCCGTAGTGGATCCTCCGGACAGGCCGATCGAAGAGTGGGTCGGGGAAGAACCCTTCAACTATATGTTTTTGTCGTGATCGACGATTCAGATGTTTTTGTCGTGATCAAAGATAAAGAGGTCGGGGCTCCTCGTCAATTTAGAGCGTGTCAGCCTCGTGAATGTAATTGCAATGCAACTCATGCTTTGAATCCTAGCTACTACTTTTTTTAAAATAAGTAATTCATTAATAAGTGAGCAAAAGAGTTGCTCAAATAGAAACTACAATATGCACTGCACTACTTCCTACTGTTAGAAAGAGGAAAACAGTGTCAGTCATAGAATTCAATAGTAGAAGTAAACTTCCAAGAGAGATCCATCCAAATCCATGATCTATAAATAATAGCTGTCAAGCATTCATCAAAACTAAATACCGCTTTGTTGAATGGAATGTCATTGCACATTAGTCAAGCATTCATTGAAACTAAATACCACTCTGTTGAATTGAATGTCATTGCGCATTAGCCATATGCTTCACACCGTCGCCATCCAAATGATCCCAAGAGTGGTTCTAACTAACTTCTTCTTCAACCTGTTATTCACCAACAAAAACTCGATAAATTCGTCTAAGGACATGTATAAATCACTACCAACCTAGTCCATAACTTTCAACCAAATTCTTCTGGTAAAGTTGCATTCTTTGAAGAGGTGTGACAAGGACTATACGTGTCTAAAACAGAAAACACAACTAAACTCTCTCGGGTTCGACAAAACCCCCCACGAATAAGAATATCTTTGGTGGGAATCCTTTTAATAAATAATCTCCAACCAAAACACAGGGTATTTGCAGGGATCTTTAACCCCCACATAAACGTAAGAGCTTGCTTCATTTGATCATAAATTCTAGTAATATTCAAATTCAACAAGTAAGCAAAAATGCAATACTTTTTACCGAGTAAACTTCATTCTCTTCCTTCATCCACACAAATGCATCATGCCTGAATCTCTGCATCTCTATAAACGTTAGCAAGACCTTAACTTCATCCCAAAGAACAACATCCAAACCCGGCAGATTGTTGACCGTGTTTTGATTGTTCCAGCTCCAACCATCCGCATTTCAATAGCCTGCCTCTGCCGCTGACATGTTATTGTCAACAGCAGCCTCATAAAGAGTTGGATATGCCTCCTTCAAAGATTGATTTCCAGCCTAAGCACATGCCAAAACAATGTATTGCTACCGTAACCAATCCTGCAATGCAAATTATTAACAAAAATAGAGAATCCATAATTTGTTGAGAGGACACTCAAAACCAAATCCCTCCACCAAATGGAATTGTGTTTATTCCATATCGAATTATTACCAATCATAACTTTGATATCCGATTTCCCGTATCTATGACACAATAATTTACACCATATCGCATCCTTCTCCTTTAAAATTCTCCACTTCCATTTTAAAAGCAAACCTTTATTGAGCACTTTGATGTCTTTTACTCTCAATTCGTCCTTATCTTTTGGATTGCACACGTTCCTCCAACTAACCCAATGCACTGTTCTATTATCAACACAACCTCGCCATAGAAAATTGCTTTGTATGCGCCAAATGTCAAGAAGCACTTTTGCTGGAGCTTTATAGAAAGATAACGTATAAACCGGTATAACGTTCATAACTGAATTTATGAGAACAACTTTACCCGCCATGGATAAATGCTTTCCTCTCCACACAACCAACTTCCTTTGCAAAGACTTGATTAACTCCTTCCACATATAACTTTTCCTAGGACTGTCACCAACTAAAACTCCCAGAAATCTGAATGGAAAGCTGTCAATGTTGCAGGACAAGAATGAAGAAGCCGTGTTGAGAAGGCAATCGTTGAGGTTGATGTCGTACATTTTTCTTTTGCAGAATCCTGACATCATCTCAAAACCCATCATAATTGCTTTTAAACTCCAAAAATTATCGTAAGTTCCTTCTCCCAAAATAATAGTGTCGTTCGCGAACTGCAACACATCAACAGAATCCTCCTCGTGATAATGAAAACCTCTAAAAGTCCCTATCTCCACGGCCTTATTCACCATAGTTGTTAATCCTTCCATGACAATAATGAACAAAAATGGCGACAAGGAATCACCCTGATGTAAACCTCTTTCCACAACGAAATCCTCAATTGTGCTTTCGTTAAGTAGAGCTGACATCGTACTAGTTAACATGCAACACTCCATCCATTTTAACCAACGAGTGCCAAATCCCATTCTAACAAGCATAAACCGCAAGAAGTTCAAATTAACACTATTGTAGGCTTTCTCATAATCTACTTTCATTATAAGACAACTACGTTTTTCCTTCTAGGCAAGTCAAGAATTTCATTAAACATGAGAATTCCATCGGCAATGTTGCGCAGCCCTGCAGGAATGCAGACTGCTTAGGTGAAATCAACTTACTTAATAACTACTCTAATTCTCAAGGCCAACAACTTAGCTAGAATCTTGTACATGCTGCTAACAAGACATATAGGCCTGTAATAAGGATTGAGGATTGTTGATCTTAGGAATCAAAGCAACAAAGGATGTTGTACATGCTTTAGTAAGTTTCGCCTTCTTATGAAAATCATTAACGAACCGGATGACATTCAACTTGATAAACTCCCAACCTTTCTTATAGAAATCAATGGTGAATTCGTCCGGGCTTGCACACTTGCTTCCATTGCACGACCAAATGGCCTCCTTGATCTCACTATCAGTGAAAGTCCTAACAAGCCACCTGCAATCTTCAATATTCAACTTGTTAAAGGAAATGCCCTTAGGAACAAGCCTGCACAAATTTGTTCCTTTGAAGAAGCTTTCAAAATAACTTTTGATTATGCCCTTAATCTCAGCCACGCCTTCCACACTACCTCCTTCCCCGTAAGCATCATAATTGAATTCCTTCCATGTCTCTCTTTCAAGGATTCATGGAAGAAATGAGTGTTGAGATTACCCTGTTTCAACCAAAGTTGTCTAGACTTCAGCCTAAGCAAATCTTCTTTTATTAATAAACTCTTCCATAAATCACCTTACACCTTGTACCTATCCTCCACCAGACTTCTGATAATCCCTCCATGATTATCAACCAAAAGCTTATCCAAGTCGTTCAAAGATTCCAACAACTTGTTCACCCTTAAATCTAACCAACCATAGACGTTGATGTTCCACTATTTGAGCTTTAGCTTCAGACACGAAAGTTTCTTGTACAACATAAAATTTCCTCTACCATCAACCTTTATCTTGGTCCACTCTGTAGAAACAAGCTTCAAGGCCTTTATGTTTTGATGAAGACAACTAGTACAAGCTTGGTATGCAAGATATTCTACGCAAAAAGTAAGAGACGCAAGCAATCAATCAAGATCATCAAAGATCAAGATAGTACCCTCGCTTATGACTCTATGGATCATAGATTCTTCTTCAAGCTACAAGTGATGATGATGATTCAAAGGAACGGTATAACATATTTTACTTAAGAATATTTATACAAGTGTTCTTAAAAATCACTTTTCATTTCACAATTATTACTAACACTTTAAAACTATTTTAAAATACTCATTCTTTTTAAAATGAATTAATTCCTGAAAAACCTTTAGTGTTAATCGATTAACACTTTTGGTTAACCGATTAACACACTTCAATTTTAAGTATTTGGTGATTTTATAACAGTGTTAACCGATTAAGCCCCAGGATTAACCGATTAACACATGAAAATTTTGAATATTTTGAACGTTGTAAAGGTGTTAACCGATTAACCCATTTTGTCAACCGATTAACACTGTAACAACAAGCAAAAGTGGCAGCTGTTCATGGAAAATTGCATTGGTTACCAATTTTGTTACTGGCTATTTTTGCTGCATCAAAATCACACCTTTTTGGAAAGGTTTTTGACTCATATAAATTGTTCTTAATTTCAAAATCAAAATTCACCTTCAAGAAACAAATCAATCAAATTACTCACTCTCTTCAATTCTGAAATTTTCATTCTAAGTGTTCAAAACCATATTTTGAAAGAAGCCATTGATTTAACTTTCACACTCTCACTTTTTTCTTTCACAAGAACACTTGTATATTTATCTGAGTATCATTTGTTTCAAGAAGAAGATCAATTGTAAAGATTGATAACAACTTTCTATCAAATATTTCTCAAGAACATTTTTTTTGTATTACCTTGTTATCTAAGACTGTTGGAAACAAGTGAAGTGTCTTGAAGAGGATTGTTCTTCATTCACTTTGATTACCTATAGGTTTAGATAGTAAGCATCACCATTAGTGTGATTAGGCTTTGCAAAAATTCTGAACTATAGTGAAATACTCTTTTGAGTCGAAAGGGGAGTGGAGTACCCTCGGAGTGTGGGGGAACCACTATAAACTTCCTGTGTCTCTTTTTTTTCCTGCCTTTACTTTCAAGTCACTAACTAATAACTAGAAAAATAACCAAGGAACCATACAAGATTGCTAATAAATTTTCATAACCTAATTCATCCCCCCTCTTAGGCGCATTTACAACTTACAATTGGCATCAGAGCAGGTTATAGGTAACCTGTTCCTATCCAATCCAGATGGCTTCCGCAAATAAAAATCTTGTATTCAAAGATGGTGGCAGCAATAAGCCTCCTTTGTTCTGTGGCAAATATTTCGACTTCTGGAAAATCCACATGAAAGCACATCTAGAAGCACAAGGAAGTGAAATATGGGAGGTTGTCCAGAATGGTCCATTTATTCCTATAACGGTAGTCAACGGAGTCGGCTCATCAAAACTGCAAGGATCATGGGATGATGATGATAAGAAGAAAGTTCTCTACGACAAAAAGGCGATAAATATATTACAAAGTGCACTTGGAATGGATGAATTCTTCCGTATCTCAACATGTTCAACGACCAAGCAAATTTGGGACACTCTTGTCGAAACTCACGAAGGAACCGCCAAAGTCAAAAGATCCAGATTAAACACTTTGAGTCAAGAGTACGAATTATTCAGAATGAAACCAGGAGAATCTATCTTAGACTTGCAGAAAAGATTAATGCATTTGACAAATCACTTAAATGCACTTGGTAAGACACTAACCAATGATGGACTTAATCTTAAAGTGCTTAGGTCCTTATCAATAGAATGGCAACCGAAAGTGACAGCGATTTTCGAAAAGAAGAGTCTATCAACAATGACATCCGCTACGTTGTTCGAAAAACTCCAAGAATATGAAACGGAACTCGGAAGATTGGAGAAACATGAAATTCAAGAGAAGAAATCCAAGTGCATTGCCTTGAAAGTTGAATCCAAAGAAGTGGAGAAAGAAGACAATTCCAATGAAGATGAAAACTTTATTCTACTTGTAAAAAGACTTGGAAAATATTTTGGTGCAAAAAATAATATTAGAAACTCAAGTTATACAAGAAGAAAGAAGTTCTCAAAGAATAAGGAAAAAGAAACATCAACATCAAATGGAGACATTACAATCTATGAATGTGGGAAGAAAGGCCACATCAAACCAGAATGTCCTAAACTCACAAAGAATTATGACCACAAAGGAAAGAAGGATTTCAAGAAGAAAGCCTACATTGCTTGGGATGAAAACGAAATAAGCTCTTCATCAGACTCCGATAGTGATCAAAGCGCAAATCTAGCATTAATGGTATCACATCAATTTGACAATGAAGACAATAAGGTTAGTAGTGATTTCTCTCTTTTTGATAATGATGCTCAAGGAGCAATTGATGAAATTTTAAGTGAGTGCAAAATTCTCTATAAAAATATTTCATCTCAAAAGGAACAAGAATCATCTTTGGAAGAAAAAATTGAGAAAATGGAAAATAATTTTAAATATGAAAAAGAGAAATTAATTAAGAATTTTGCATGCACTAAATGTGAGTCACTCTCTTTTCAAATAGTCCAATTAAAAAGAGTCCTAGAAATATATGAAAAAGGACAAATTGGATTGGAAAGTGTTCTTAGTAATCAAAGATATGCAAATGATAAAAGTGGTCTTGGTTACTCAAAATTTTCTAAACCAACTTCTAACAAGACCATATTTGTCAAAGCTAAAGAACAAGTTCCTATTGAAAAAAGTGACAATCATAAAAAGGTTCATCAATATGTCAAGAAAAGAAAAAATAAGAAGAAATATTATCCCCCTAGATATAAAAGCAATTTTGAGCCTACATGTTTCTATTGTGGTATAAAAGGACATACTCCAAATGCATGTTATGTTATAAATTTTAGTGTTGCTCAAGGCCATTATGTATGGGTAAAGAAATGAACTAACTTTGAAGGATCCAAGGCAATTTGGGTACCTAATAAAACTTAATTATTTTTTGTAGGTATGCTTGAAGACCTCTTCAAATGAATGGTATCTTGATAGTGGATGTTCGAGGCACATGACGGGTGACCTAAGCAAATTTTCACATCTAACGCGTAAGGCCAAAGGATTTGTTACTTATGGTGACAACAACAAAGGAAGAATCCTTGGCGTAGGCATCGTTGGTTCACCGCCTTCAACAACCATAAAGGATGTCCTATATGTGGAAGGTCTAAAGCATAGTTTACTTAGCATAAGCCAGTTGTGTGACCGAGGTTTCAAAATCAACTTCACTAAAAACGAATGCTTGATTGAAAATGAAGTTACTCGTGAAGTTATGCTAAAAGGTAAAAGAGTTAATAATATTTTCTTAATTTCCTTGGATAACGTGTCTTTGAATGTTATATGTCTCTTGGCAAGTAACAATGAATCATGGTTATGGCATAAGAGGTTTGCTTACATCCACATGGAGCACTTGAATAAATTGATCAAACATGACTTGGTTATTGGATTGCCGAAGATCAAATTCATCAAAGATAGGTTATGCGTGTTGCACCCTAATTTTTGACCATGAAATCCCACCTCTTTTTGCGTTCTCATTTTGTTTTTTGTTTTTTATTTATTTATTTATTACTACTAATAAGGTGTGTACAGGGTACATTGATTTCAAACATAAAGGATACTTATTCTCATAATCAGGAACGGTCATGTGGAGACAGGCTAGGATTTTACAGCCATTAGAACTACAAAGATTTCTCAAGGGCATCATGCATGTGTCAACATTTGATTACGCAAGTAGCAAAGATCGAGTTTAGTTCAAGAAAGACTTTGGTTTTATCCAAGAGGTTTAGGCAAGAAGCTCCCAAAGTGAATATTTGA